TATATATACTTGTATAAAGAAATAATAAAGGGTTCGAAATTTGTGAAATTTGAATATTGTTATAGTGACTGCATTAAGCTTTCAAAACAATCTGATAGTACTACGTTAAAAACAAACTGAATAAATATACTTGTACAATGGAGCTTTTACTTAGTATCTGTATATAATTGAAGAAGAAATATGTGGTAGACACCATTAAAATAATAACTGATGCCTAGTTGTTGTCAAGTGTAAGTGGATTTGAATAATTATTCATTCATTAAACAACATTTATTTCCGTAAATGTTAAACAATATTTATAGTAAATCATTATTATAACAAGAATATATGTAAATAAATTAATAATATGAAAAACGATTAACTAGGATCTTTAATGGCAGATAAAAATATCTTTTCACGTATGATACTCACAGAAACAACATAATTTAAATAGAAATATTAAAAAGGCAAATTATACGCCATGCTTAAAATATTAGAACCACGCTTCAAAAAATATTAATGCAAATGCAAGGTTAATAAACAGACTTAGCGTGTCACTTGCTATGTACTAAAATAGCAATTGTTTGTATCCACCCTTTAGAATTTTGTGCACCACCCTTAAAATTTTGAGGACATTTTCTGAAATTTCACCATTCTTTAAAAATCCTGGTGAAAGGGTTGTAATGGGGAACATATGACAATGAAGAGGGAGAAAACAGTTCCATAATAAAAAATACTGTCCCTGCTAAAGGTAAAATTTGACAATGTTAAGGAGAACCTCAGACGACAAAAGAATTCCCCTTAAAATATGTTTTAAATGTAGTAGTATCCGACGACAAGCAACAAGAAAAAACTAAATTGGAGCAACTCTCTCGACACGAAATGTTTAGTATATCATACAAACGTTTAATTAAATACCTGCCTCTGACCACAAGCAATCAAGAGAAGACTAGACAAGAACGACTCGCTCGACACGAAAATTTTAGTTTATTATTAGTTTATTTACAAACATTTAATACCTCTGACCGCAAGCAATCAAGGAAAGACTAGACAAGAACAAACCCGCGCGACACAAAAAGTTTAGTGTATTATACAACCTTGAGACCGCACAACGGTCTTTGCTTCGAGATTTGAGCATGAAGGCAAGGCAAAAGCAGTTTTCTTAGCTACGTTTTTTGTCCGCTGATCGGACTACTACTACTACTACTGTAAAATGTTTAGCCCATAAATATGATGTGTGTGAAGAAAACATTAAACAATATTTTAATTTGGACCTTCAAAAAGCAGTTAAAAAGAAATGGCTATGAAATTTTAGGGGGGGGGGGGCTAAAGCCTGTTTATCCCCCCCCCTCTAAATACGCCCCTGACCATTTACCAAAATCCGGTGTCTGTTGAACTACTATTACGGCCATGTAACCTACCAAATTAAACTTGTACTGTCCCCGATGGCGAATAAGACCGCGGTTTGTCTATTCGCGATCTCTACTGCTGTTCGTGGATGTATCAAGGTTTAGCATGGAGGTTTAAGCAAAAAATCTTTGTTAACATCGTGTGAAAAATTATGCAAATTTGATACAGGACGGGGAATTTATCTGGTATTTCCCACACTTGTGCTACCAATTCCTCGCAAATACATCCTATACATGCTGAAACTCTTCCACAAATTCCCACGCTTGTGCTACCAAGTCCTCAAAAATACCCCCGTAAATGCGGCACCTATACCCGTCTAGAAATATTGAAGAGTAACCCCCCCGGGCCCCAGCCATGGTGTCTGTGTAGAGGGTGAATAATTGATCTCAATTATATAATTTAGTATTTTGTATTATTGACCTAATGGGTTTATCATCAGTATAAAAAATATAAATATCAAGACTCTAGCAGATAGGCCCTACATAATACCCTCTCTAATTCTTCCCATGCATTATTTTTATTTGATACTTCATATAGGCCTAAGCATACATGCCAATACTCACGTTTTGGCCACCTGAATCCTGTCAAATTTTCTCACGTTTTTTTTTTTTTTCATGCTCTACCGGTTTACAAAGAAAATTGCGTATTCATTGTATTGTCTTTTCTGCACTGGCAATAAAAAATTGAAATTGAAAAATCCTCAATATTGTATCATCTTTTAATATTTTGCTCGGCGACAGCAGCTGTGAGTGGTGCGACAGATGTGGATTTGAGCACTGCGAAGTGATAACATAGCTAAAGCTTCAAGGAGTTACACCCCCTGGACCCGGCATGTAATCGCCTCCCGAACCCTCCCCACAGGCCCCTATTTTAATATCAAAATGTTGGCATGTATATGTATAATTGTAAGAGACCATTTTGGCACCAACCCCTTCGGACATCTCTGGATCCGCCTCTGGTAAATAATATTATACTTCCACCATATATCGTCGAATTTAATTAATTTAATATTTATACTTTGCACACACAATTTACGCCACCATGCAGAAGTACTGTATTGTCAGCTGAAGAAAAGTGGGCCATATAGTACTTCACGACGGCCCAAGAATACATGCTGTACTATCTTCTGGATTTGGGCCTATGACGTAATGATAATATCCAGGTCACGCCCACCTGGGCCCTAATCCTAATCGATTTTTTCATATACATTGTGTCGTGGGCGCGCGTGGATGATCTTGTTGACAAGGCGTAATGGCTGGTGTTAGTAAAGTTGTAGATGTTGACGAACTACTACCTCAACTTTGTAATGAATTTGATCAACATTTTGGCAAAAGACCTGAAGTTGCAGGATGTGCTCCTGGTAGAGTTAATTTGATAGGAGAACACACTGACTACAACGATGGATTTGTTTTTCCGATGGTAAGTTGTTACTATACTAGGCCACAGGCAACAGTTAGTTATACCTCACCATGGCCCATCCATGATGCACCTGATCTGAGTGTGACTCTGTTGGGTACTCTGTGGGCGAGAGTTGTGCCAGATGGAGCTAGGCCTAGCCTAGCTAAGACAGTACGTAGTAGGCTAGAATACAGATCATTTCGATCGCGCCTTCATTTCGGTCGCGCCGTTGTTAGCCAATGCAGCATTTCGGTGGTGGACCATTTCGGTCGCGTAAAACAGCCGCAGTATGGAACGCCGATGTACGCACTAGTGCTGTTTGGAAAGATTTTTTAAGTGTTCTGTATTTTTAAAGTTCTTTTTGTGCATGTGTTTCAGACAATCAATTGGTATTAATTTTATTTACGCAGTGATTATTTTTACGACGAGTCGTGAAAATAGTTCCCAATACTATTCTTACGACGATCACTAGTGCATGCGCGATAGCGTCCCTCGTCGCAGGGAAAATAAACAAGTCTTGAACTGAGCGAACCGCGATGCAAATTCTAGCCTAGGCATCTCTAGGACCAGAGAAAGGCCACACAGGCTATGCAGCGGAAGCGCTAGGAGTGAACTACAGGTACGCAGCTAGGAATAGCGTGGACTATATTGTAGGCCTTCATACTTGTATGCTCCCTGGTCCGGGGTGGCAGAATAAAACATGAATTTTTCAATTTTGTAAAACCGTACTGTTACGATCGTATGGGTTGCAGTGGTGGTGCCAGCTCTTCCCCGACTGGGGGCTGGTACTTTTGACAGGAAAAAAAATCCCATAATTAACACAAAATGTTATTTTTGAATTAAAAAAAAAAAATTCTCCTACAAATTTTATCGGGGAGCTTAGACCTCTCGTCGGAATTTCCTGGCACCGCCCTACTTCATCAAATCACAGTATATTTTATTTTTATTTATAGGCCTACTACTATTAATATTATAAATATGATATGGAAAGGCAGCAAACAAGAAAACAATCATATGCAAAACAAATGACATGCTAATTTCATAAATCTTCATTTTATTAAGCGTTTTAAACATGGTCAAATAATCGGGAAACACAGCAATGACAATACGTGTCTCAAACCAATCGACTTGCATTTGCGTTGTTTCTGTAAAAAGAGAAAAATAATAATTATTAATAAAATTATTAAACAATTAATAAATATTATCAAATAAAAATAATTGGTAATAAATCAGGAATACCGGCCATCGAGTGGGAATCACAAAATTGAACATGAAAACAATTTTGTAGGCTTAGCCGTTAGGCCTATATATTGTTTGGGGATAAATAGGCCGTAGGCTCACATTAATTTTTCATGTTTAGGCCTAATTTTTGTGTTTTACAAAATTGAAATTCATTTTTTATATATATACTGCCACCCACCCCAGGAAGCTGTTATGAAAGTATGAATGTGTAGGCCTAAAATATTCTAGCTGCGTACATGTAATTCACTCCTGCTACCCCGCTGCATAGGCTGGTATCTACCAAGCCTGTGTGGCCTTTCTCTGGGCCTAGGCTAGATTTAGCATCGCGGTTCGCTCAGTTCAAGACATGTTTATTTCCCCCCGCGATGAGGGGCGCTGTCGCGCATGCGCTAGTGATCGTCGTAAGAATAGAATTGGGAACTATTTTCACGACTCGTCATAAAAATAATCACTGCGTTTTATTTATTTTGTGACTATATTTATTTCATAAATCTCCATTCAATTTAAGCATTAATTAAATATATATTGCAACAAATGTTAAAGAGAAACTTTTCTCAAATGAAGTCGACTTTGTAACATTTGTGTTGTTTCTGTAAAAAAAAGAAAAATGACATCAAGTGATACATGTATTGTTAATAATAATAAACTATAATATTATAGTACAGTAATACAAATAATTGTTAGGGTCAACTAATGTTTGATGTAAGTTTTGTGTTTATAAAAATACTATACTGCTTAGCTCCCTTGTTCCACATTCGGGGCACGCCGTACACCGCGACTGAAATGCATAACAAAAAAAAATGCGACCGAAATGATCGGATAACGTAGACTAGGCCAAGAGGTTGCCTTAGCCCTAGACCAGGGGTGGGCATAAAAATTGGTCGGAGGGCCGAAGTGAACTTTTGATTTAACATCGAGAGCCGCACCCAAAATTTGATGTTTCCAGTGACCTTCCAAAAACACTTATTCTCAATTTTAATGATGACTTTTTACATATGATTGGTGTCGGGCCGTAAAAAACAAGGTGATTTCCAGCCAATGTTGCTACAAAAAGAAAAAATATATACATTAAATACAGTACTGTGCATGGGTGTTCACAAGTGCTGATGATGATCCCTTGCGTTGTTATGAGTTGTTGCAAAACATCAACTTCTTTTTAAAAACTATTTGTAAAGTTGCTCTTCAATTTCAGGCATTATCAATGGTTACTGTGCTTGTTGGTTGTAGAACAGACAGTGGGGTGTGTAAAGTGGTAACAACAGCTGAAGGTGTAGATGAGCCAAAGGTAGTTGAATTTGCTCTTCCAACAGGTGACAGACCCCTCCAGCCAGGGAAGCCTGCATGGTCAAACTATGTTAAAGGTGTTGTCCAAAACTACAAAGGTATACGAAACGAAACAAACATTAACAAAGAGTACACATGCCAACTCTCACGCATGCTGAGCATCCACGTTGTATGTCTCATGCCTATATTGCATTATCTTGCGCATCATAAAAAATGTTTATAAAAGATACTAGAAATTGCAAATTGCAAGTGAAGTGCTGCAAAGTACAACTGCATATAAATGTTCTTCGAACAAAATTATTTATGCGAGTCAAGTGAAAATAATGAATAATAAAAATATAACAAATAATATTAGACACGACCCATTGTCTATATTAGAACACCGACGAGCTGACGTAGAAACATAGTAAAAATGAGCGTTGGTACCGTGTATGCCAGTCTACAACAAGCGTCTCCTAAATGTAATAATTAGCACGCTGAAATAGGGTAGTAAATAAGTTTAACTGGGTTCGTAAATAATATTGGCCTCAAAATATTGTGGCTGAGACATGGGCCGATTAAACATAGAAATAGGAAACCTAGAAATATAGTAAAAACGCTGAATAGTAATACTCGAGCGTCGCTACATGCGGACGTTGGTACATGTAGGTTAAACGTCGCCTAAAGTAATTGATTTTACCCGGCAGAACGAAAGAAGGAAACTCCGCTTTTCCGTCGTCTTAGGCCCTTGTTTTTTGACAAACAATGACTTTTCAGAGGTCAAATTGCTGTCAAGAATATGAATTGGCTGCTTCGCAGTAATAAGTGTATAGGCTGATTATACCCTCAAATTCCTAAAATAGAAGTGAAAATTTGTCATTAAATTGTGAATACAGGCCGTATAAATTTCTTTTAATGAAACTATAGTGACCTGAAATATATATAATACAGTATACCTAATTTGCCTGTATACAGTACATAAAGATCAGAAAAATCAATAAACAAATTAATAATTTTATTAATATATAACTTATCCACATGGCATATCATCATAGAACCCTGCCATCCCATTTAGTCTAGATCAACCTCATGTTGACTATTAGCTGAATTGACTTTTGCCCCACCATGAATTCCTTCGTCTTCAATATTTTCTATAAACACACTTCAACAATCTGTTTTCATATTCATATATTAATTTTCATTTGCCTAAACATCTCTATGTTTATTTCTAATCTTTCTATTCACAAACACCACACTAGAGCTAGGTCTGAATTCTATTTCCATTCAAAAAACTAATTGGTGCATTTGACTAGTAGAGACTGTTCAGTAAAAATATAAAAAATAAATTGAAAAAAAAATTTAAAATTAAAAAAAATAAATAAATGAAAAATGAAAAAAAATGTCATATAATGTCGTAAAAAATGGCATATTATGTCATTCATAAATATAATACATAATGGAATCAATTAATCTCATGTAAATTATTTGATTTATAATTAATATCAAGAAATATGAATATCATGCAACTACTTCATTTATGGAATTAGTATCTCATGCACATCATTTCATAATATAAGTTATAGAAATATGAATATCATGCAAACTATTTCATGCATGGAATCAATAGTATCTCATGCAAACTATTTCATATATTAAAAACAATGCTCCAAAAATAATATAAGGAGCAGAAAACACAAGTTAAAGGTTACTTCTACCATCCAGAAGTCATTTCTGTTCAATGTTCCATGTTCACTTTAGTATGAATTCAATCGACCTATACCAAATCCATCAGCTGCAATCTTGAACAAATCATGACTTGAAAACAGCAATACTGTACTTCAATCACAGTTACTACCAGCTCCAAATTAACTACTCAGGCTTATACATGCATTCACAACCTGCGCCCTGCGATAAGTACTTCACTTTCCCCGTACAGTGTACAACAAAACAAATAATGAATAGGTGTGTCCTAATTCCTCTGGGAAATCTATTGTATACAAACGAAAGTTGCACCTGTATGATTTTGAATATCATTAACGAATTCACTATTATGCTTGATTGATTAAATGTTGTTTGGTAAAAAAAATACACGAGATTTAATTCTAATGTGACAGTTTTATTGAAAAATCCTCCTCAGTCATTGCATTAATGAGTAGGGATGGTGTGGGATGACGTATTTAAGTTCTTTAAATTTATTTGGACCCCAGTCCTGCATTCAGCTCATAGTGTACAGCTCAATGCAATTCTCTTTATCAGTGTTAGTAATAAGACAGTTGTGGATTTAGGCTAACTTGCAAAATGCTCTTCAGTCATTCCACTAATGAGTGAAGGTGGTGTGGGGTGACGTATGACGTATTTAAGTTCTTTAAATTTATTCGTACCCCAGTCCTGCTGTTGAAATCATAGTGTGCCATAAATTTAATATTTGTATCTTATACCTAGGCAAGGTGTCATCATTCAATGCGCTGATTGGTACAACAGTACCACTAGGGGGCGGCGTTTCCAGCTCTGCTTCACTTGAAGTTGCCACTTACACATTCCTGGAACAATTAGACAAAAGTGGTAAGACAGTAAGTCTGAAAGAGAAGGCACTAGCTTGTCAAAAGGCAGAAAATGACTTTCCCAAGATGCCTTGTGGTATTATGGACCAATTCATATCTGTAATGGGGAAAAAAGATCATGCATTGCTTATAGACTGTAGGTAAGCTATGTTTAAATTATTTTATTTATTACATGCCGAATTAATACTCTTTGAGGTTTCGGTTGTGGCACCGGACCAAGTCGGGTAATCGATCATCCAAACCCCTGTCACTAGAAGCAGCTTCCATGTGCTAAACCTTTAATTTATTACCCGTCGCCGGCAGCTCGCAAAGGTCATAGTTTGTACAGAGAGTATGCTAATCAAATCAAAGTCTACATGTAGGCCAGGCTCACTCACTGTGTGAGTAAGGTGTTTGCTTGCCAGTACACAGAGGTGATGAGCCTACAAACTAGGCTACAACAGTTATTTCATTTCATATATTTATTTTCCAGATACAGTAGTTACAAACATCACAAACCTAGCACTATTCTGGCGGATTGTCAGAAAGCAAACAAATTCACTATGCAAAGACTCTCCAAAACAGTTAATACTCTCCTAAACCTATTCCTACATTTGTAATCGCCAGTATTGATTCCTGATGATGACATAATTAATGTCGAAGTATTGAATCCGGACACGATGGCGTGCATTTCGATACTTGGAGTATGTATTATACTATCTTATCTGAGATTAATCAGTGGACCTTTTGGTTTTAATCATCAGTAAGTAAATAACCATTGATTGCTTATTCCATTCTAAATGTGGCATCTTATGTGTGATGTGAAAACAGTCGAGTTCAGCTGTCCGTAACGAACAGAGGCAAGATAATAATTATGTGAAGCTGATTTTCTGACATGTTATTTAAAAATTTATAACTCCTAAAGCGGGTGTCATATACAAATTTTTTCTGGGAAATGTTCTTTAACTTTAAATCATATTGTTCTATACCACAGTATGATTTTTTTTAAATTCAAAAACTTTTTTTGATAAAAGATTGGAAAATTTACGATATTGACCAACAGAAATATGATTGACAGCTACCACCCAGACATCGGTTCAGTTCGTTACCTCCAGAATGGATTGTCGCATTTTTTGCTTAAAAATGGTCTTGAAAGTTTAATCTACAACAATATATGATTTAAAATGTTTCAGTTTTTTGTTTACCCCGGAAAAAAGATGGTAAAAAAGATTCAAACTGTTGAATAGTGTATGAGGCCAGGGTATGAGGCTGATTGCATGCTACAATTATTTAAACATTCATAACTCAGTATTCGAGTGTCGTATGCAAATAATTTCTCTAGGAAAATACACTATATCATTAAAAGAATAAAATAAATTTTTGACATACTCAAATTTAATTCCGTTTTTTACTATTTTTTTTAACAATAGGGAAAACAAATTACTTATCATATATATGTAGTGGTATAGATTAAAAGTATTTGCATATGAAACTCAGGAAATAATAATAATAAATGGATTTATATAGTGCAAATATACGAGGTCTCTATGCGCTCGATAGTACTGTAGGTAAAAAGACAATGAAAAAGGTTAGAATAAGAAGCAAGAAAAAAGACAATAAACACCAAGGTAGCGCCCAAACCGAAGTATGTGGTTACACCGTAAACATGACAACGGCATAAATGCTTGGTGGTTATGTTACTGAGGGGGCAGATGTAAATTGTGAAGAGCACAGGACCCAGAATTGATCCCTGTGGGACGCCACATTCCAAGAAAGCAGGATCAGAAACAAATAATTGAATTTTAATACGTTGGCATTGTGATATTAAATACAAGTGAAACTAGTTGAACACTAAACCAGAGATACAAATATCAACTATTAAGCAATCAAGGAGAGTGGTATGATCAATGTCACATGTCTAAATATACCAATAAAACACATTCTCCTGAATCAAGAGCATGCATAATGTCATCGTGGACTTTCAATTTGGCAGTTTCTGTACTAAAAAACTTTCTGTATGCTCACTGGAATTGGTCCTTCAGACCATTGTCATCAAGATGCTTGACTAGTTCCTCAACCTTCTTGAATATTTTGGAAATAAATGGAATGCAGGTTATAGGTCGAAAATTAGAATATTCTTTGGGGTCAAGCTGAGGTTTCTTTAAAAATACGGGATACCAAAGACAGAAAGAGACTGATCATGGTAGTGGGCAGACCCACTAAAATCTTAGTGGGAAAAGGAACAAGTAGCAGGTTTTACTTCCCAAGGACTTGACAATATCAATAACATCCTCATTATTCAATAAATTAAAACTCTTACTTGTAATTTGACTTTGAAGGTATTTGAAATCAACCCTTTCATATTTTCTATAAGAGATGACTTTCTTTCGGGAAAGTGGTTTGTAGGCATGAAGAAAGTAGTGATCCGACAACGGATATGCATAAACAGGTGTACTTGTTATAAGATCAGGATTATTAGTAATCAAGAGTATGCTGGTGTTTATGGGTAGGAACATTGATGAGCTCAGTATGATCTGAGGATATCTGAAAGCTGAAGCATGTAAGCATTCAGGGGAATGAGTATTGTTTGGTAAAAAACTGCATGTTTGGACTTGGGGGTGGGGGGTTGTGGCCTGAAAATGATAAGAAGCGTATCATTGTCTTCAAATGATCTAAACTGGTCGATTCTACGACAGTTTGTTGCAAACCGTGCCATAACAGCAATGCCGCACCTCTTCTATTAATCTGAGGAAATGAACAGAGCCGGTAACCACTAGGTTGGCATGCTGCAATTAAAAGCCTCAAATCCTATCGTATTCTATTGGTTACAGCATCAGTTTTCCATGTTGTGATTACTGTAATTGTAATCCTAGTTTTTCTGAAGTGTTGAGGTATGCAACCCACCAGTGACATTATCTTCTAAGAGGATGAATTTCGTCATGTATTTATTTTTTTTAAATTTTAAAATGAAGTTTGTTAGTGACTATACTGTCTTTAAATTTAGAAAACTCCTTAATAATTATATTATAACACAGATGGGCAAGTGAAGCATGACAGCAATTTTTTTTTGCCACCCGCAACAACCCCATGTGTGCGACCTGTATTCCAATTACTTTGGCAAGAAAACCAAAGTAAAAAGTACTAGTAATATTCAAACTAAGCATAAACCAGTAGAAGAACAGTGTATTTTTCTGGAAATATCAAGGTTTGGTTACAGCCTTTTGTGTTAAATGAAAAATTCCGATCCATTTTTATACCTACCCTTTTATTAAAGTATTGAATTGCTTATTTCAAAGAATAAAAAGTAACTTAACAACTACAATGAGACTGATTGAAAATAAACATTCTTGAATTGTCTGTCAGCAGATTGTGCACGAAGAACTTAAGAACAGTACAGTATTATTTATGTGTCCATTAGGACTAAATAATCAAAATACTGAGAAATGTTTATGCTCACATTTCGTTTTTAAGCCTTGTCCACACTATCAAATTTGTTGTATGCCCATACATAGTCATGATGTGTCCATACATGGTCATGTGATGTCATGTGGATATAATTGAGCATGTAATATGTTTTTGTCAAATGAAATTTGATAGTCTGGACAGGGCTTTATAAGGTGACTGGTGGTATGTCTTAAACTATACAAGTATTCACTAATGGTTTTTTACGTTTTAGATCAATGGAATCCAAGTTGGTGGGCCTTACAGACCCAAATATTGTTGTACTAGTAACAAATTCAAATGTTAAGCACAAGCTCACTGGAAGTGAATACCCATTACGACGCAAGCAGTGTTATAAAGCAGCCAAAGTACTTGGGAAGAATAGCCTTCGTGATGCAACAATGGACGAACTTCAAAGTAAGACAGCACTGTACATTTCATACTAACGCTCTGTCCAAACTATCAAATTTTATGTGACAAACAAGTGTAGTATGACATCATCTTGCCCATATATGGGCACATAACACAATTTTGTCAGAGCTTTACAAGTGATTCCAGAGATGTTCTTTCCAAGATCACAGTCTTTTTCCAATTCATATCTTCTGAAAGTGGATGTATCTTTGATTTTACATGTAGGTATCTGTAAATTTCCTGTTGAAACACGTCATATCGTCATTGCGGACTTATAAAATCCGCATACGCCTTAAAACTAAAAGAAAATGCATACATTTAGAGTCCGTACTGAGCCCAAAAAATCCGCAATGAAAAGATAACGTGTTTTGACTTATAATCAGGCAGTACTGAGGAGAAACAACCACAGTCATGTTTTCAAGTATTCTATGCATAACAAATATATGTTATGTAATTGTAGATATAATAACAATTCATTCTCCCACCATGCTATATTCAAGCCAAAGTTCATAGCTGGTCTTGGCTATTGGCCACTCAAGGTAGGCTTTCTTCACAAAGGCTTCTACGAATGGAAATCTTGTTCTGGAGCAGGAAATCCCCAGTACCTCCCAAGTCTGATTATAAATGTATCTGGATATGGTTGAGTCGGCAGTTTCAACCTACATCGTACTTTCGCCAGCTGTGGTGTTATTTTATTTTCAATCACAGATTTCTGTATTTATTTACATATTTACGATCTAGGTCTACAGCATATGAAAGACTGCCTGAGTAACAATTATACTGACTTCTTACAAGAATGCAACAATTATACTGACAGTATAATGACAGGGATTTTATGGGAAATTTATGTAACATTTAAAACACATCCTGTGTAACATTTTATGTTCTGTGTATCTTGTATATGAGAAGTAAAGTAAAAAAAAGTAAAGACAAAAAAAAAAATCTAGATTAGTGCAGGAAGCGACCTTCATAGTAATGCCCGACTGCTAAGCTGCATTATTAAAACTTTTCAATTCTAGGCCATCAGAATAAGCTGGATGATGAGACGTTTAGGCGTGCAAGACATGTGATCAGTGAGATCGCAAGAACGACAGATGCAGCAGATGCACTTGCTCGATCTGATTTCTCAACATTTGGCAAATTAATGGTACAAAGTCACAATTCCTTGTGGTAAGAAATCATTGTTTCTTTACAGTTTACGTTCAGCAACCATAATGCACATGTCCCACATCCCATGCTCATACTATCTGATGGAGACCCTGACCTCTGACTACCAGCATAAATAACTATGGGAACAATTTGTTGCATACAATTTTTTGAGTTGTCAAGGGTCAAAATATGGGGTAAAGACAATAATTAATCAAAAATGATATGTACAAATAATTAAAAGATAATTATTGTTGTATATCAAAACATAATTTTAACCTCTTAAGTGTCTTTTTATTCTTGAATTTTAGCATAGATTTTGAGGTGAGTAGTATAGAGCTTGATGAGTTAGTAGAATTAGCAATGTCATGCGAAGGTGTTTACGGTTCAAGGATGACCGGAGGTGGGTTTGGAGGCTGCACCGTCACCCTGCTGAAGAAGGATGCAGTTGAAAGTACAGTTCAACATGTACAGGTAACTTTAATATTTTTTCTTTTTCAGAATTCATTAATAAAACCATGTTTTTTTAAAAAAGAAAACTCAATTTCTTTTTGCCTTCTCATGCAAAAAAAAACAACAAAACTTTAAAACATCAAGAATATACATTGTCAAAATAAATCAAAATACAATTTATACATATTACAGGTACAAGTAGCACATTTTTATCTGAATTATTGTTTTTTTATTTTTTTTTATTTATTGATTGTAAAAGATTTTAGCAATTTTTAAAACCGATTGTGATTAGAATTAACAATTTGCACTTGTTATTAATTTTAATCAGGAGGCAAATTCTGTTTTTATAAAATTAGCTGTTAACTAAGGAGCTTTTTCTTATAGGCCAACTACAGTGGAAAGGCTACATTCTATGTGTGTGCAGCATCAGATGGAGCTAGGTCTCTGCAGCTGTAAAGTGAAGAAGCTAAAACAAGCTGACGAAGCATTCTTCCATGACCTTCTTGCAGTTCAGAGGCATCAATAATTTACAATAACTGTAAATTTTGCTGGCAACCGAACTGTTTAAAACAATATTATAGATATTACAAATTCATAAATTATATTTCAAACACCTTATTAAATTTATTTAGAATTATGAATTGTGACAAAAACAAGCCAAACCAGTCACTCGTCGCAAAAATCGAAGGATATTTTGGTCATTATCTCTGAAATAGGATTTGCGACAAGTGACTGGTTTGGTTTGTGTTTGTCAAAATTGTAAATTATAATTTAAACAATTAGATTTTATAATAAATTTTTACTTACTGGTAATAAGATATAAATTTATTCAAATTGATCTGTGTCTGTTAACTTAAGCTGAATATAATAAAACAAAAATATTACAAATTAAATTAGCATGCTGCGACAAAGACAAGCCAAACCAGTCACTTGTTTCCTTGTTTTCTTTTCTCTTAAATGCATGGTAAATAAATAAACATACTTTTCCGAGGACATAATTTGATAACAATTTTTCACTATTTAGAAAGTTAAAATGAAATGATGGAAGATATGTTTTTCTTAAGTCAGTATATAACTTGCAGAACAATAGAAATTGAATCTCATCTTCGATGCTACCATCATGACAATAAGTCTATTTTTATAATCAACACTATTTTTACGCCTCTTTTCAATTTCAAGACTATGATTTGATGTACGAAAAGAAGTCATTAACTATTTAAAATACGGTTTTATATTCATTGAGAGGTAAGATTCAGTTCCAAAAGTGTGTCTGAATCTAGCGTATTGTTTTATTTGAGTTATTTATACTGCTAAACCAATTTTGCTCATCTATGTCTATGGCATCGTTTTATTAAAATTATAAATGAAAGCTGTTTCATCATCCACCCCTTGGTTCATCCAGACTTCCCATTATCCATAATAAAACAAAAGAGAGTAACAGGCCCGTAGCGTGACTTAATTTGTGGGAGTTTCGTTTCAGTGGAAAGTGGACGCTTTGGCTTGTAGTATCTCCGATACTCTGGAGAACATTGTAAATATGTCTACGAATATCAATTTTTCATTTTTAAATGCGGACCTTTTTTTTTTTGGGCAGTTCATCATAACCCCATAGCCCCTGCCTGCTACGGGCCTGTGTAACTGTCACTTTTGATAAATCTTATCTGTTTTTTATAATTCTCAACCAATATTGGATCATTCTTGTCAATCTTTAACATCTAATTTTATGTCAGCGCAGTTCGTCTCTAATCATTGTACTCTCTGAATTTCTGGAAAAATCTAACATGAATTTTTATAAATGTCATCACCAGACCTCACTCCAATAGACAAGAATAGATTTTAGTTTGATATCAACAATTTTAAAATAAATGTCAGGTGATAAATTACCCATAGATATTATCAAATTTGAAAATTAATCTATCCAGTCACTACCAGGTATGCCATTGCTTTGGATTTTTCTTTTTCTTGAACAAATTCCAAAATGTTTTCCGTTATCTACTGTTAATGAATTAATTTTTTTCATTTAAAGATTTAGATATAACAAAGATTGATTCAGATCAAGAAGTCGTGTTTAAATCTTTATAAACTTCTTTCCTTTTATTTCTACATTCTCTGTCAAACCAATCTTTGTATATGTTTTTACCTTGTCTTATTTTTGCAAAATTAATAAATAAGCTATTGAATTTAGACTTGATTATATTATATCTTCATTATTTTGAATTAGCACTTCAATATCATTCAACACATTATTAATATTGATTTCATTTTCATTGATATGTAACATTCATTTAAGCTTTTTAAATATAGTGTTGAAGAAAAGCTACTAATAATTTAATATTTTAATTTAATTTTTATGTTTTTTTTTTATGATTTTACCTCTGATGGTATAATTCTGTAGTTTGTGTCTATTTGTAGAAGACCCTGATTTTCA